TGCTACTGCCCCTCTTCAGACCCTGCACCTGGACGTTTGGGGCCCAGCCCCCGTCCCCGGACCGCGCGGTGAGCGCTACTTCCTTGTGCTCGTCGACGACTATACGCGCTACACCACGGTGTTTCCCCTGGAGCGGAAGGCCGACGTGCCCGACGCTCTTCTCCCGTGGGTTGTGGCTGGGCGTCTTCACCGCGGTCTCCCCGTATTGTGTCTCCACTCTGACCATGGCGGCGAGTTCACCTCTGGTCGGCTAGGACAGCTCTGTCGTGCAGAGGGCATCACCCCGTCGTACACCTTGCCGGACTCGCCACAGCAGAATGGGGTTGCTGAGCGCCGCATCGGCTTGGTCATGGATGTTGCTCGCACCTCCATAATTCATGCCGATGCCCCCCATTTTCTGTGGCCGTTCGCTGTTCGCTACGCTGCTCACCACCTTAACTTGTGGCCCCGCTCCCAGCGGCCGCAGGTTTCGCCGACCCTCCTTTAGACCGGGTCCCCCGGTGACGCGTCTGCGTTCCACGTCTTGGGTTGCCTTGCTCATGTTCGTGCCTCTGGCACGGACAAGCTCACTGCCCGCACTGTCCCCTGTGTCTTCCTCGGTTTCCCCCTGGACTCGTCTGACTGGCTCTTCTACCACCCGCCCTCTCACCGCTTCCTACACTCTCGTGACGTCACCTTTGACGAGTTTTTCTCCTTCTACCATCGCTTCTTCCCTCACCGAGGTCTCCCGGTTTTCCCCATCCTGTTCCTGGCTCCCTCTCCCCCGGTAGCCCCTCCTCCCCTCCCGCCTCGTCCTGCCCCGTCTAGTGTCTCTCATGTCACACCCCTCCCGTTGGTTGTCCCCGTTGAGGAGTCTGCTGACTCTGGTGGTCCCCCCGGCCCGTCCTTGCCGCGTCCCCCTTCCCCGGTGTCTCCGCCCCCACTGTTGCAGTCGCCGCCGCCGCCGCCGCCGTCGCAGCCGCCGCCGCCGCCGCTGCCGCGCCTGGCCTCTGGGGGTGCTGGCGTTGAGGAGGGTGTTCGTCCTGCGGCTCCTGGCGTGGTCTGTCCCGGCGGGACTGGGGGTGCCGCTAGTGCTGGAGGGGGTTCTCGCTCTGAGGGTGTTGGTTTTGGGGGTGCTGCCGTTGAGTGTTCTCCCGGCATTCGTCATGCCCCTGCCGGTCTGCGGGTCGAGCACCATTCGCAGAAGCAGCTGCCACAGCCGTCGCCGCCGGTCTCCGCTCTTCACCTGCTTGGCCTTCCCTCCCCAGACCGCTCGCCGGTGTCTCCCCCACCACCTTCTCACCTTCCTGTCTACGGTCATGTGTTCCCGCCACCGGACTCGTCTCCGGCCCGTCCTACTCCGCGTTCCCCTTTTGTGTCCCCTCCGCTGTCTCCTGACCCTACACCTCCGTCCCACGTCTGGTCTCGCCGTCCCTCATGTGCTCGTCCCGTCTCTCCTGTCCTGCGCTCCCACCCTATGTTGCTCCGTTCCCACTCGTCTCGTCCTCCCCTCCTCCCGTCGCCTCCTCCCTCGTCGCTTGTTGTCGCACCTCCCCCGCTGTCTGACTACCTTCGTGCCGCTTGCCCCCTTGTCCCTCGGGTTCTTGCCTCTCTTGTTACAGACCCGTCTGTTCCTGTCTCGCGTCTTGACGCGCTTGTCGCTGTTGTCGCTGACTTCGCCTCTACCCGCCGCCTTGACTACTCTACCGCTCTGGTCTCTGACCCTGCCCGTCCTCTGTCCGTCGGGGGTGCACCTACCCTTGGCAGTGACGTTCTAGAGGACAGGCAGTACGAGCTTGCTTTCCTTTCCGAGGCTGCTCCTCATCTCTACTCCATGCTCCTAGTCCCTGAGGGTGACCCAGACGCATTCGACATCCCGACCCCTCGCACTTACGCTGAGGCGGTCTCGGGACCTTGGGCCTCTCAGTGGATAGCTGCCATGGAGCAGGAGATGGCATCTTGGAGATCCACCGGCACTTACGTCGACGCAGTTCCCCCACCTTGGATGAACGTAGTCGATGGCCGCTGGCTCTTCAAGGTGAAGCGCACTCCTGGAGAGCCGCCTGTGTTCAAGGCGCCCTACGTGGCTAGAGGCTTCAGTCAGCGTGAGGGGGTGGACTTCTTTCAGACTTTCGCTCCGACCTCGAAGATGACTACTCTTCAGGTGGTGCTACACGTAGCAGCTCAGCGTGACTACGAGCTTCACTCCCTCGACTTCTCCACAACGTTTCATCAGGGCAGTCTACACGACCAGGTCTACCTGCGCCGCCCTCAGGGTTTCACTGGTACCTTCCCTCTTGGTACCCAGTGGCTCCTGCGGCGCCCCGTCTACGGCCTGCGGCAGGCTCCCCGTGAGTGGCACAACACGCTGCGTGCTACCCTTGCTGACCTGCAGTTCTTTCCGTCCTCTGCAGACCCCTCGCTCTTCGTTCGTTCTAGCCAGACTCTGTTCTACATCCTTGTTTACGTAGACGACCTGGTCTTCGCCACTAGCGACAGGGACGCACTGGCCTCCGTGAAGGCAGAGCTGCTGAAGAGACACACCTGCACTAACCTAGGAGAGCTGCGCCGTTACCTTGGCTTGCAGATCTCCAGGGACAGAGCGGCGCACACCATCACCCTCACTCAGTCACACTTGGTGCGCCAAGTCCTTCAGAGGTTCGGCCTTCAGTTCTCCTCTGCACAGCCCACCCCTCTGCCTGTAGACCACAGGCTCTCTGCTCCAGTTCCTGAAGAGTCAGTAGAGCCCAGTGGCCCTTACGCAGAGCTGGTGGGTTGCCTCATGTACCTGATGACTTGCACTTGCCCAGATCTCGCATACCCTCTCAGCATCTTGGCTCGCTTTGTGGCCACAGGCAGACATCGACCTCAGCACTAGTCTGCCGCTAAGAGGGTTTTGCGTTATCTTGCAAGTACATCAGGCATGGGGTTAGTGCTTGGAGGCCGCAGGCCAGTGGTCCTTACTGGGCACACAGACGCTTCGTGGGCAGACGACGCCGAGACCCTTAGGTCCTGGCAGGGCTACTACTTTAGCCTTGGTTCAGGTGCTGTCTCGTGGAGAGCTACTCGCTCCTCGTCTGTTGCCCAGTGCAGCTGTGAGGCCGAGATCTACGCCGGTGCCATGGCGGCACAGGAGCTCCGCTGGCTGACCTTCTTGCTCACTGACTTAGGTGAGCGGCCTAGCTCTGCTCCGGTCCTGTACGCTGACAACAGGGCCATGATTCTCCTGTGTCAGGAGCCGCGACTCGAGGGCAGAGCGAACCACATCCAGCTGCAGTACTTCCTCCTGCATGAGCTACAGCAGCGTCGCTAGGCCCGCGTAGTTCACTTGGCCTCCGGTGCCAACACAGCTGATATCTTTACGAATGCGCTTGCGCCTAAAGATCATCAGCAGCACTGTGTGCAGCTTGGTCTTGTTCCTGTAGCTGCTCACTTATTAGGACCCTGATTGTGTACTCTCTACTATATATATTGTACATGTCAGACTGGCCTTGTGGCCTTGCCTCCAGTGGTTGGACTAGTAGTGCCGCCCTGGTTTGCTTTAGTCTTGTTTGTACTCTTGCTGACTGGTCTCGAGACCCCTGCCTCAGTGGTTGGACTAGTAGTGCCTCCCTGAGCTGTGTGCTTCTTGCTTAGCATCACCCCTTCTCTAGCCTAGGGGGTGTGTCAACTTATACATATGATGTATGTAGAAGTTATAGGCTAGCCTAGGCGTGTGCTTCTAGTGAGTACAACCCCAATAGGTATATGTTCTAGGTTTCTCACACTAGTCAATTATTTTTGCATTCTAACACAGTGCCCATCCTTCCCTCTGGCCGAAACTCCTCTGGCTGCTCCCAATAGTGCGGCGATCGGTTGATGTTGAACACCCTAAGCCACGCTGAAAAGAGAGGCGAGGACTGTGAGAGAGGGGGAGAGAGGGGGAGAGAGGGGAGAGAGGGGGAAAGAGGGGGAGAGAGGGGGAGAGAGGGGGAGAGAGGGGAGAGAGGGGGAAAGAGGGGGAGAGAGGGGGAGAGAGGGAGCCTACGCGGAAAAGTGCAAACGAGGAGCCAGTAAACGTAGTGCGTGACAAAGTGGGGGTTTGTCGCCACGTCGCCTCACCTCCATCTCAGCTGACGACGCGGAGACCAAACCACCAGTACACAGAGAGGCGACTCGACGTGGCATCACGCCATTGGAAGTCGGTCGATCGTCATTAGCATAGAGTTCTGGCGGGAAATTTCCAGCGATAATCACAACCGTCCAATCTCTCCAATTCAGTCAGCATCTGTAGGAACAAAGCTCGCAAAGTCCGTCGCATCTTGATCTCGCAGGAAATGGGCTCTATCACCTCCGGTTCTGTCAAACGCCCTCCTTGCTTCTATCGCCAAAACCGCACCCTCCGCGTCTGACCCACTCAACTGCAGGAACCGAGCTTCCCAACTACTGACAATGTGTGAAACAACCCTAATGGTATGTCTTATCGACAATCTCAAACATTTGTATGTTTTCTATGGAGTATGCTGCTTCTAGAAACCCATGACCGAACACCTGGCGAGTTAGTTCGGGCAATACTTCTGAAAGTACGAGGAGTTACACGAGACAGTGACCTGGCCTAGTCCAGCGGTGATGTGGATGTCGGGAGGGGCGAAATTGGTGCAAGGCTAAGTGTGTGCCGACGTGAATTTTGTTCTAGTCTGGCTGGAGACGACGAGCCTAGTTTCACAAGGGATGTGAGAGAGTATTCCTTTCAGAAATACGAAGCCGAGATTACATAAACTCGTATCGAGGAATCTGTTTCCGCGTTTAGTCAGGAACGAATCCAGACTGACCGTTGACTGCTTTCAACGCGGAACATTTTCGGTGGCCCGCGGGTTTCGGCAGTCAGCCTGCCCCACCGCCGATGCACTTCAATCGTAGCCGCCACGTGGCCTGCCCGAACGCCAACATGAATCAAAAAGCGCCGCGTGCCTCAATTCGCGGCCTGGAAAAGGGTGCATAAATTTCGAACATTTCCAACATTTGGCACCACAGTTCCCAAAGACAGCACGATCATCCAAACTCACTTCTGGGAGACCCATTCCTCCGACCTGTCTCAAGACGACTCTCTGCTGTGCTCTTCCTTCACTCGCCGCACCTCCCAGCCTACCGATATGGGTCGCTTATTTCCTTGCGCCGCTGTGACTCTGCTCCTCGTCATCGCACTTGCAGGTGAGCGACTTTGGATGTCAAGTCTCCTATTCCCTGGTTTCCGGTTCCCAATCCCCTCTCCCAAACTCTATTTCCAGTTCATTTTGTAGAATGATTCAAAAGCTGAATAACCAATAATCAACTATTGGGGCACCACGATCACTAACCCTAGTATTTCTCCTGTACCGATCCTCTCTCCGTGTCCACCTTCATTCTCCTTTGCTTCAGCAGTTCTCACTCCATCTGCCCTCGCTGCGCGTACCGGGCTTGGAATTGGCTCCAAGATTCTGGGTGAGTTTCATCTCGTCATAAAGAGTGCCCTCTTTTAACAGAAATCCGCAAAATACACGCTGATTTTTTTACTTCAGGTACAACTGGAACATTTTAATGCCAAACTTCCCAAATCTACGTTGTATCGTATTCATTCTCCCACCAGCTTCTCTCCGTGGGACCCTCAACACTTGTGGTGGGAGAACGGCTGACGTCAGATCCTACATTAACGGAGTTGCTGACATCAGCATTCTCAGAAGGTACAAAATGCATCACCTTTTTAAAAGGCAAAGACTCGGGCTACCTCCCTTCTCTCCCTCCTCCCTTCCACCCCACTAACCTTCTCTCCACCTCCATCTCCCTCCCCTCTCACATCACCCCCCAGGGGCACCTCTGTGATCCTCACATACAAGATCACAACGCAAGGCATGGCCCAGCCCCCCTCCTCTCCCCCAGCCATCGTCACACGCAACCCCTGCACCATCCCCTCCCTCTCCTCCGCTCTCCTCGAATCCTCAACTGATGTGGGTGCCAAAGCGGCTGCCAACACAGCTTCGGATAGCTCCCAAGCCAGTCTTGGAGGGTCGCCGAGCCTGAATGTGATTCCTGCTGGGTTTGTTTCGGATGTGTCTGGAGCTATTTCTGGTGTGGGGAGGGCAGCGGGGAATGTGGCAGGCGCGGCCGGGAAGGCTGCAGGCTCGGCAGTAGGTGTGGTGGGTAATGTTGCAGGCTCGGCAGTAGGCACTGCAGGTAAGGCAGCAGGATCTGCGGGGAGTGTTGCAGGTTCGGCAGCAGGCGTGGTGGGCAACACCGCAGGCTCGGCAGTAGGCATGGCAGGAAAGGTGGCAGGATCCGCAGGGAACCTCGCAGGTTCAGCAGCAGGCTTGGCAGCCAATCTTACAAGTTCGGCGGTTGGCACTGTAGGGAAGGCAGCAGGCTCGGCAGTAGGCTTGGTCAGCAAAGTTGCAGGCTCCACTGCTGGCACCGCAGGAGTGGTGGCATCCTCTGCTGGGCGGCTTGCAGGCTCGGCAGCAGGCGTGGTGGGCAACGCAGCAGGCTCGGCTGCAGGCTTGGTGGGCAACGCTGCAGGTTCGGCAGTAGGCACTGCAGGAAAGTGGAAGGGTCTGCAGGGAACCTTGCAGGCTCTGCAGCAGACTCGGCAGCCAATCTTTCAGGTTCGGCAGCTGGCACTGCAGGGATGGCGGCAGGTTCGGCAGCAGGCTTGGTTAGCACTGTTGCAGGCTCCACTGTTGGCAGTGCAGGAAAGGTGGCAGGATCTTCTGGGAGGCTTACAGGCTTGGCAGGAGGCTTGGTCGGCACTGCCGCAGGCTCGGCAGTTGACACTGCAGGGAAGGCAGCAGGCTCAGGAGGGAACCTTGCAGGCTCGGCAACAGGCTTGGTGGGAAATGCTGCAGGTTTGGCCACTGGCACTGCAGGTAATGCTGCAGATTCAGCTGCAGGCTTGGTGGGCAATACTGCAGGCTCAGCAATTAGCACCGCAGGCAAAGTAGCAGGCTCAGCAGGCAAGGCAGCAGGCTCGGTCGCAAATTTGGCTGGTTCAGTGGCAGGCTCGGTTGCTGGTTCGGTGCCTTCAGTCCTGACCCCTCTGGTGGTTCTGCCAGGTGCTTGGGTGGCTGCAGCAGCAAACGTGAACACAGGAGCCAACGCTGCTGCCACTACTACTGCTAGAGTGCTCTCTCTGGTGGGGGAGACTCGGCTCAATGCTGCTCTCGCCTCCTCTCTCCTCGCCCGCATCTCTTCCTCCACGCCCCTCCCTCTCTTCCTCCGCCTCAACGGCCAGCAGGACCTTGTTGCGACGCTGCTGCAGTAGGGTATAGAGTGGTCGTGCAGAGGACTGGCTGTCTGAGGGAACATTGGAAGGTGAAGGGATGATTGGCAAGGAAGGAGGGGAGGGATGGCGGTGGTTATGCGATACAGATGATATCGTACCACTGCCACCATTTGTCCCCTCCCCTCTGGTCTCGGAGAAGCGATGATCGTTCAACGTGCCGGATTGGACGATGCGCTGTACTTGATGTTGTGTACCTTGCCTTGTTTAGCTTGACGCCGAGAGAGTGCTTTGAAGGCAAGGCCTGCTGTGGACACTGTTACACGTCATCAAGTTCAATGCTCTGATATGTGTCATTGTAACCATCCCCTTTCCACATTGCCTTTCCAGGGCTGACCAGATCTTGTCCTCGATTGCCATTTCAAACCTAGAGGGCCACATCCTCCGCCAGATTGCCATTGAGGGCCTGACTGCAGTAACTGCCACATGCCCTTCTATCCCTGATCACATCATCTGCCAGATTGCCATCCCAGTCCTGACCACATCACTTTCCAGATTGGAATGCCAAGGCTGACCAGATATTGTCCCCAACTGCCAATTCAGTCCTGGCCATACCTTCTAGCAGGTTGCCATTTCAAGCTTGACCACATTTCACGCCTAACTACATCATCTGCCAGGTTCCCACTTTAGGCCTGTGACAAGTTCAGTCGCCAGATTTTCATTCTGTGCTGAACAAGTCATTTGCTATATTACATTTCTGGCCTGATCTCTTCACTTGCTAAAATCTGCCAAACTCTGCCAGAATCTCATCTTGGCTTAAACGCTTCATTTTCCAGATTATGATTGTGGCCTGACCATTTCATCTGCAATATTCACATTCTGGCACAACCGCTTCATTTCCCGGATTCTCCCTCTGTCCTCACCACTCCATTTTCCAGGTTCTCACTCTGGCCTCAACATTTCATTTCCCAAATTCTCATTCTGGCCTGCCCACTTCAGTTGCCACATTCCCATTCTGGCCTGTCCAAAGTAACTGCCAGATTCTAGCCTGACAACTACTTTTGCCAGATTCTCATGTCCGCCTGACCATTGCATCTTGGGATTCTCGTTCTCTCCTGGAGAATCCATTTTGCAAGTTCTTCATTGTGGCCTCACAACTTCGTTTGCCGGATTCCATTCTGGCCTAACCTCTTCATGCCACATTCTACCTGTAATACCTCGTTTGCAAGATACTTATTCTGGCCTGATCACATAATTTGCCATACTCTCATGCTGGCCCAACCATCTCTGTTGCGACATTCCCATTATGTCAGAACCATATTATTTGCCTGGTTTCAATATGGACAGATTGATTCATTCGCAAGATTCTCATTCACTGCATTTGCCAGATTCTCATTTTATCCTGACCACTTCATTTGCTACATTCTATTTTTTGTCCGGCCAGATATCCTAGAGCCTCATTCTAGCCTGACCACTTCACTTGCCAGACTCTCGTTCTCGCATAACCAGGCCCTATGTTTTCAGGGTAAAATCCCCTGAGTTCCTGACTTTCAGGGTGTGAGTTGGTACATCGTCCTGAGAGTGCATTGTAAGTCTATAAGTTGCCCTCTGACATCAGGATAATAATGTTTTAGGGCCTTCAAATATCCGAGAGTTCTTCCAAACGTTGGACAAGGCTCACGTGCCAGGCAACGTAGGTATATTCTCTTCAATCAGCAGTAGTGAGTCACAAGTTGAAGCCGAAGTGTAGTCAAGGTTCACTGATGCTGGCTAATGCAAACTCCCAAAACGTCTGTCCCAACCATGCAGCTAATTGTCACTTTTGCACATGGCAGGCAAACACTCACTGCATTAGCTTGGTGATGGTAGTGAAGAGAACAGTTATACAGGCAACCTGTCCAACCAAACTCTTCCACTTTCCTGCCATCCATTGGGGTGCTCTGATGTTCCACACTCTGCCTTTTCTTCCATGAGCCAGACCGATGGGCCAGACCGATGAGCCAGACCCATGAGCCAGACACATGAGCCAGACCCATGAGCCAGACACATGAGCCAGACCCATGAGCCAGACCCATGAGCCAGAATAATGAGCCAGCCCCATGAGCCAGACCCATGAGCCAGACCCATGAGCCAGACCCATGAGCCAGACCCATGAGCAAGACCCATAAGCTAGACCCACGAGACAAACCCATGAGCAAGACCCATGAGCTAGACCCACGAGCCAGACCCATGAGCCAGAACCATGAGCCAGAACCATGAGCCAGACCCATGAGCCAGACCCATGAGCCATAACTTTGAGCCAGACCCATAAGGTAGACCCATGAGCCAGACCCATGAGCCAGACCCATGAGCCAGACACATAAGCTCGACCCATGAGCCAGACACATGAGCCAGACCCATGAGCCAGACCCATGACCCAGACCCATGACCCAGACCCATGAGCCAGACCCAAGAGCCAGACCAATGAGCCAAAACCATGAGCCAGACCCATGAGCCAGACCCATGAGCCAGACCTTGAGCCAGACCTATGACCCAGACCCATGAGCCAGACCCATGAACCAGAACCAGGAGCCAGACCCATGAGCAAGACCCATGAGCCAGACACATGAGCCAGACCCATGAGCCAGACACATGAGCCAGACACATGAGCCAGACCCATGAGCCAGACACATGAGCCAGACCCATGAGCAAGACCCATAAGCTAGACCCACGAGACAGACCCATGAGCAAGACCCATGAGCTAGACCCACGAGCCAGACCCATGAGCCAGACCCATGAGCCAGACCCATGAGCCAGACCCATGAGCCATAACCTTGAGCCAGACCCATAAGGTAGACCCATGAGCCAGACCCATGAGCCAGACCCATGAGCCAGACACATAAGCTCGACCCATGAGCCAGACCCATGAGCCAGACCCATGAGCCAGACCCATGACCTAGACCCATGACCCAGACCCATGAGCCAGACCCAAGAGCCAGACCAATGAGCGAAAACCATGAGCCAGACCCATGAGCCAGACCCATGAGCCAGACCCTTGAGCCAGACCTATGACCCAGACCCATGAGCCAGACCATGAACCAGAACCAGGAGCCAGACCCATGAGCCAGACCCATGAGCCAGACCCATAATCCAGACCAATGAGCCAGACCCATGAGCCAGACCCATGAGCCAGACCCATGAGCCATAACCTTGAGCCAGACCCATCAGCCAGACCCATGACCCCGACCCATCAGCCAGACCCATGAGCAAGACCCATGAGCCAGACCCATGAGCCAGACCCATGAGCCTGACCCATCAGCCAAAACCATGAGCCAGAACCATGAGCCAGACCCATGAGCCAGACCCATGAGCCATAACCTTGAGCCAGACCCATCAGCCAGACCCATGACCCCGACCCATCAGCCAGACCCATGAGCAAGACCCATGAGCCAGACCCATGAGCCAGACCCATGAGCCTGACCCATCAGCCAAAACCATGAGCCAGAACCATGAGCCAGACCCATGAGCCAGACCCATGAGCCCTAACCTTCATCCAGACCCATGAGGTAGACCCATGAGCCAGACCCATGAGCCAGACCCATGAGCCAGACCCATGAGCCAGACCCATGAGCCAGACCCATGAGCCAGACCACATAAGCTCGACCCATGAGCCAGACACATGAGCCAGACCCATGAGCCAGACCCATGACCCAGACCCATGAGCCAGACCCATGAGCCAGACCCATGAGCCAGACCAATGAGCCAAAACCATGAGCCAGACCCATGAGCCAGACCCATGAGCCAGACCCTTGAGCTAGACCTATCACCCAGACCAATGAGCCAGACCCATGAACCAGAACCAGGAGCCAGACCCATGACCCAGACCCATGACCCAGACCCATAAGCCAGACCAATGAGCCAGACCATGAGCCAGACCCATGAGCCAGACCCATGAGCCAGACCCATCACCAGAACCATGAGCCAGAACCATGAGCCAGACAGATGAGCCAGACCCATGAGCCATAACCTTGAGTCAACCCATCAGCCAGACCCATGACCAGACCATCAGCCAGACCCATGAGCCAAGACCCATGAGCCAGACCCATGAGCCAGACCATAAGCCCTAACCTTGATCCAGATCCATGAGCCTAGACCCATGAGCCATACGCTTGAGCCAGACCCATGAGCCAGACCCATGAGCCAGACACATGAGCCCGACCCATGAGCCAGACCACATGAGCCAGACCCTCGAGCCAGACCCATGAGCCAGACCCATGACCCAGACCCATGACCCAGACCCATCAGCCACACCCATGAGCCAGACCCATGAGCCACACCCATGAGCAAGACCCATGAGCTAGACCCATGAGCCAGAATCAGGAGCCAGACCCATGAGCCAGACCCATGACCCAGACCCATGACCCAGACACATGACCCAGACCCATGAGCTAGACCCATGAGCAAACCCATGAGCCAGACCCATCAGCCAGACCCATCAGCCAGAACCATGAGCCATAACCATGAGCCAGACCCATGAGCCTGACCATCAGCCAAAACCTTGAGCCAGAACCATTGAGCCAGACCCATGAGCCAGACCCATGAGCCATAACCTTGAGCCAGACCCATGAGGTAGACACATGAGCAAGACCCATGAGCCAGACCCATGAGCCAGACACATGAGCTCGACCCATGAGCCAGACACATGAGCCAGACCCTCGAGCCAGACCCATGACCCAGACTCATGACCCAGACCCATGACCCAGACCCATGAGCCGGACCCATGAGCCAGACCCATGAGCTAGACCCATGACCCAAACCCTTGAGCCAGACCTATGACCCAGACCCATGAGCCAGACCCATGAACCAGAACCAGGAGCCAGACCCATGAGCCAGACCCATGACCCAGACCCATAAGCCAGACCAAAGAGCCAGACCCATGAGCCAGTCCCATGAGCCAGACCCGTGAGCCAGACCCATGAACCAGAACCATGAGCCAGAACCATGAGCCAGACCCATGAGCCAGACCCATGAGCCATAACCTAGAGCCAGACCCATCAGCCAGACCCATGACCCCGACCCGTCAGCCAGACCCATGAGCAAGACCCATGAGCCAGACCCATGAGCCAGACCCATGAGCCAGACCCATGAGCCTGACCCATCAGCCAGAACCATGAGCCAGAACCATGAGCCAGACCCATGAGCCAGACCCATGAGCCATCACCTTGAGCCAGACCCATGAGGTAGACCCATGAGCCAGACCCATGAGCCAGACCCATGAGCCAGACCCATGAGCCAGACACATCAGCCAGAACCATGAGCCAGAACCATGAACCAGACCCATGAGCCAGACCCATGAGCCATAACCTTGTGCCAGACCCATCAGCCAGACCCATGAGCCAGACACATAAGCTCGACCCGTGAGCCAGACACATGAGCCAGACCTTCGAGCCAGACCCATGACCCAGACCCATGACCAGACCCATGAGCCAGACCCAAGAGCCAGACCATGAGCCAAACCATGATCCAGACCCATGAGCAGACCCATGGAGCCAGACCCTT